GGGAAAACTTCATCTAAACCTCCGCAGCGAAATCACCATGAAGAAAAGCATTATGAACATCCATCTAGTGAACTTCCCAATGCTTAGCAGCAGCCACAACCAAGAATAATCGGATTGTAACCATTTTGGCAACGGGAACGTCTCATAATAGTCAAGACCTTCCACCTGATTATTGCCCAAAATCACCAAACGCGCTTTATAGCGCTCAACGGTACCATAGGACTTATGCTTAATCTTAAAGACCCACTTGAACCCAATCGCACGCTTCACAGATGGAAGAGAAACTACATCCCATGTGCCATTATTCTCCAAGGCACGAATCTCATCCTGCATAGCGCTTCACCATCGAGGATCAGTCACGACATCAGCAAAAGTGCGAGGCTCAGCAGCGGAGGGGACAACAGCCAAAAAGGCTCGATGAGCTGGAGAGAACGAATTACAAGAAACATAATGTGCTATGGGATAAGGCGTACCTGAGGATGGAGACGACTGGGGAGAGGCAGTGGGGGGTACAGTCGAGGGCCGAAAAGTGTCAACAACAAAATCCTTCAGCCGAGTAGAAAGAACCTTAGTTCGATGACCGCGACCCAAGGGCTCCACTGGAAGAGTGGGAGGGGTAGTGGTAACGGAACCCCCCATGTCGTCAGACGTGTCCATATCAGTAGCAAAAGACCTAGTAGATGGAGAAACATGAGGCAAAGGGATAACCGGAAGATCCTCATCATCATCCGACGCAGAAGAAACCGGCAAAACAAGAGGCGGTGGCAAAGAATCTGGCTCAGACAAGTCTGACTGATATGGGAATTCAGTCTCGAGAAACTCCACATCACGAGAGACAAAGAAAATCTGACGATCCAAATCATACAAACTCCAACCCTTTTTGACAAACGGGTAACCGACAAATAGACAACGACGACTCCGAGCAGCAAACTTGTCACCATTACGATCTTGGTTATGAGCATAACAAAGACAACCAAAAACCCGCAAATGAGACAAGTAAGGAGTCGAACCATAAAGAATCTCATATGGGGTTTTACCATGTAAAACCGAGGAAGGAGTCTAATTTATCAGGTAGACTGCAGTCAAAACACAATGACCCCAAAAAGGAAGAGGCAGATGAGCCTGAAAATGCAAAGCACGAGCTACATTGAGAATATGATGATGTTTGCGTTCCATACGCCCATTTTGCTGAGGGGTGCCTACGCAAGAAGTCTGATGTAGAATCCCTTGTCGACGAAAATAAGGGGCCAAACACATGAACTCACTTCCATTATCACTACGGAAAACACGCACTGATTTATCAAATTGTCGCTTAATCATAGAAAAAAAATTCAGCAATGTGGAAGCAACCTCTGTCTTATCATTCAATAAATAAACCTATGTTCCACGAGAACAATCATCCACAATAGTCAAAAAATATCGTGCACCACAGAAGGACGGAACACGATACGGACCCCACAAATCACAATGAATCAAATGAAAAGTCTCATGACTAACAGTCTGACTGAGAGGAAAACTACGACAATGTTGTTTAGCACGAAAACAAGCATCACACGATTTATTCAAATTACGAGAACTAGAATCAATAACAAGAACCTGGGACAATACTTGAGCAGACGGATAACCCAAACGTTGATGCCACACATCTGCAGAAACCTTCCGAACACAAGAAACTGCCGTAGAAACCTTTCCTCGAAAGAAGTAGAGACCCCCTAACTGCTCACCCACGCCAATCACCTTCTCCGAAGTGCGGTCCTTAATAACACAGAAGTTTTTAGTAAACTGAGCGGTGCAGTCGGATTGATCCAACAATTGATATAATGAAATCAAGCTACACCGAAGGCTGGGAACGTATCAAACATCATAAAGAGTGATATGAGATCCCAAATAAATAGTCCCAGCCTTGCTAGCCATAGTCAAGGAAACATTAGGCAATTGAACAGGACGGGCGGGAATATCCCTAACATCAGAAAAAAAAACTCCAGGAACCCTGTCATATGATGAGTTGCCCCATAGTCGTTCATCCAATCAAATAAACGACGCGTACCAGACAAAGGATTATTTTGTTTAGCGGAATTAACCAAAGACACAAACTGAGACCATTGTTCATTGGTAAAACAACCAAGTGCAAGACGATCAGAATCATTCAAAGCTCCACTAGCAGTGAAGGAACCAACAGAACCGGCAACAAATAAATTACCGATATCACTGGAGAACGCCGCATTCACACAAACACCACTCTCACCGCGAGCTCCACCACGGAGGCCACCACAAGAACTGAACCATTTCGGATATCGCATTATCTCAAAGCAAGTAGCAGCAAGATGGCCCATTCGGCCACAATGAGAACACTTGGGACGGCCACCAGTACTGTGCCCAGTAAATTCGGCGCTATATTCGGCCTCAGCCACTGTCAAAGATTCTGCCATGGAGCCGCAGCAANAAATTGGGACTGGATGCTAGCGGATTAGGCTAAGCAAGCTGCTAGCGGACAATCAAGCAGTCTGAAAATTGGAAAAATTGAACAGGACCGGTATATGGTTCTCTCACTCACGAACTAAAAACACTCCATTTTTTTTCGATGGATCGAACAAACACAATAGATTTAACAGAAGCAGGGATTAAAGAAATAGATAAAAATATATGGATGAAGCCGACGTGACGAAGGCAATCAAATTAGACAGGAAAAAAAAAATTGTGATCCGAAAAATATCAGGGCTCTGATACCATGATACGAAAGACACGGGATGAATTCAGGAAAAATGATCATCTCAATCGGATGATTCAAATATCTATAAACGAAGAATATATATAGACAAATATTAGGGTTACACCTACCTAAAGATATCCTAAGACTAATAAAGTATTATCTGACAAGTCGCGTTATATATCAGTTCAAATCGCCCGCATACATAAATATACACAATAACAAATCCAAATTCACCTCTACGGTCCCAATCTCATAGTACTGCATAAAATTTGAAAATAAAAAGTATTACTACCTCCTATTCTTTTTAAATGTCATTTTGGATTTTTTGTACTTATTTTTCCATTATTACCCTCATTTAGCTAATAAATACACTACTGTCTTTTCATATTCATTCTTCATCTTCTCAAAATATTCATCTCTATCTTCATTAATGAAGGTTATTATTGGCAAAAAAAAAATATTTTTAATTATTGTACAACTTCTCAAAATGACAATTATCATTTCCTTTCAATCACTGTAGTGGAAATGTGACATATACAGTCAATGAATGAATTAAATTGGATAAAATTCAATTCAAATAGTCCTAAAGCTTTAAAATTTTGACTTTGTCAACTGGGTGCCTCCCAAAGAGATAAAAAACGGGTCCATGCCCAGAAGACCCCAATTAAGACGGTTGACAGTTGACTTTGGTTTCTTATCATAATTGGAGCTTGTTATTATTATCAAGTCATACTTTCAAAATTGAGTTGGAGAAATTTTTGGAAAAATTGGGTCCAAAAATCTCGCTTTCCACTTTTCTCTTGTGTGACACGTTACATAATTTGTATTACACTTGACTATCATATTATTTTAATATATTTTCAAAACAATCGTTCAGTACATGCATTTCGATTTGACTCGTGAAAGCTCAAGATCTATTGATTCGGTTACTCAAACGAACTGAATTCGAGCAGCTAATCAAGCTGGCCTATTAAACTTTGAGCCGAGATGAGCTGATTTTATCCAGGAACATCTCGTTTTTATTTTCTTTTATGAATTTTTAAATAAAATAAGCTCCTTTAGTTCAGGGAGAAATTGGTATATTCCGTCACTCATTAGACAAATGTCGCTAGAACCAATCATTAGTCTCTGAAATTCGTGTCTGAACTCATTGATTTCATGTTGGTACTGTTTTTTACTTTAGTTTTTGATAGATATATATAACAATTAACACAATCTGGAACAGTATTCGCATGGACAAAGATCTTGTAAATTTTATAATTCAAATAACCCTTACATATAAATCNATTAGTCACGCTGTTTTCCAAAGAATAATCAATTTTGAACAATGTGATAGTAACACTTAACAGGAACATTGAAGATGTATTTAATCAACATACATGGCAATAATTCCAATGTCGTGCCAATTTGTCAAAAAAGTCAGAGTTAGAGTTAGATAGGTGAAAAAGTTGAGTTCTTGCTCTCACATTATGATTCCAATACCTATTGCTAATTTGCTATTAGATGGATGTAATAATTAACAATTATATATATTTTTTTTCAATATAAATGTCGACTCACAACAAATAAGAACTTTTCAGAATTTTTTTTCTTCATTTGTATATTTAAAGAAGATCGAATTCGAGATTCAAAAAAGTTTCAAATTTTCTATCACATTTTAAATCCTATTATTATTTTATTTTGGTGTTTTTCTGCTTGAACTGTACAATATGAAAGTCTAGTATACGTGTCTCTGTACATGAGATAGTCAAATTTTAAAATAATATAAATAAAAATATAAAATCTTATATTATACATGAGCAAATTTATAAATAAACAAAAAAATGTGTTGGGTGTACCCACCTATTATCAATATTTTAATAGATATTCATCTTGTGCGTATAATTTGTGGGTACAGTTGGATGTGGGGGACACATTTCCTTCTTTGAAAATTAATGTGGGTTGGCTTTGTTGTTGTATTACTAAACTTTGTCCCCCCAAACTTTATAATTATTTAATTTATTTCTTCCTTGCAAAAATTGATCTAAACCACTCTTGGTAAAAAATAATAATAAAATTAAAATGCGAGTGCATAATAAAATCTTTTACAGGCTACAACCTTTGACTTCCTGTGCAGAAAATCTTCTCTGATTATGAAAATTCTGCCTCCATTTTCACACCTCTTTATTTATATATTATTTATTTCATTTCATTGCTCTGCCTAAACATTATATTGTCTCAAATCCAGAAAAAGTTCCCTGATTTTAATTTCAAGTAGTTTACAGTTTTT